AAAAGTTCAACACAGACAAAATCGACTGTGATAAACCAAAAAATTGAAAAACTCAAAAATTGAAATTCAAAAAGTGGAAGGACCAAAATATCGAAAAACTGACTAATCAAAATGTGAAAAATCTAAAATTTAAGAAATTGAAAAATTAAAATCCCGAAAAATTGAAAAATCGAAAAATTGAGACATCGAAACATCAAAAAATCGAAAAACTGACATTAAAAAAAATTAAAAACCGAAAAGAAAAATGGCAAAATCAAAGCCAAAATTGACAAATCTAAAAGTTAAACAGTGACAAATCGAAAAATTGCAAAACCCAAAAATTGGAATTGAAATCCGAAAAGTCGAAGAATAAAAAAAACTGAAAAATCAAAAATAGAAAAATTCGAAAAATGTCGAACTGAAATATTGAAAAATAGAAGAATCAAAACATCTAAAATTTGAGAAATCGACAAATCCTAAAGCTGTAATGGAAAAAAATTAGGAAAGCGAAACATCGAAAAGTCTTAAAAAGTGAAAAATTTTAAATCTGAGAAATTGAAAAATTAAAATACCGAAAAATTGAAAAAGTGACAAATTCAAGTCTCTAAAATTTAAAAAATACAAAAATAGTGAAAAAGTCGAAAAATCGAAAACCGAGAAATAGAAAACTTCAAAACTTCAAATTTAAAAAATCTAAAATTAAAATGTGGAAAAATTGAAGAATCGAAAAATCTAAAATTTGAGAAATCGAAAAATCCCAAAACTGAAATGTCAAAAAATTAGGAAAACGAAACATCGAAAAGCCTTAAAAAATGAAAAATCTAAAATTTAAGAAATTGAAAAATTAAAATACTGACAAATTGAATAATCGAGAAATCGAAAATCTAAAATTTAAAAAATCAAAATTAAAATATCGAATAATTGAAAAATCGGAAAAGTGAAGAACTGAACATATAAAAACTTGAGAAACTGAAGAATTCGAAAGCTGAAATAGAAAAAAAAAAACAGGAAATCGAAAAACTGAAAAGTTGAAAAATCATAAAATAGCAAAATCAAAGTCAAAATTGACAAATCGAAAAGTTAAACAGTGACAAATCGAAAATTGAAAAAAAAAACTGAAAAATCAAAAACAGGAAAATTCTAAGTATGTAGAACTGAAATAGTGAAAAATCTAAAATTTGACAAATAGAAAAATTCCAAAATGGAAACATCGAAAAGCCAAAAAATTGAGAAATCGAAAAGTCTAAAAATCGAAAAATAGCAAAATCAAAGCCAAAATTGACAAATCGAAAAGTTCAACACAGACAAAATCGACTGTGACAAACCAAAAAATGGAAAAACTCAAAAATTGAAATTCAAAAAGTGGAAGGACCAAAGTATCGAAAAATTGACAAATCAAAATGTGAAAAATGCAAAATTTGAGAAATTGAAAAATTTAAATACCGAAAAATTGAAAAATCGAAAAATTGAGACATTGAAACATCAAAAAAGTGACAAGTTAAAAAAAAATAATTAAAAACCAAAAAAGAAAAATAGCAAAATCAAAGCCAAAATTAACAAAACCAAAAGTTAAACAGTGACAAATCGAAACATTGCGAAACCCAAAAATTGGAATTGAAATCCGAAAAGTTGAAGAATCAAAATATCGGAGAATTGAAAAAAAACCGGAAAAATCAAAAATAGAAAAATTCGAAAAATGTAGAACTAAAATACTGAAAAATAGAAGAATCGAAAAATCTAAAATTTGAAAAATCGACAAATCCCAAAGCTGAAATGGAAAAAAATTAGGAAAACGGAACATCGAAAAATCTTAAAAAGTGAAACATCTAAAATTTGAGAAATTGAAAAAATAAAATACCGAAAAATCGAAAAATTGAGACACCGAAACATCAAAAAATCGAAAAGTGACAAATTCAAGTCTCTAAAACTTAAAAATTGAAAAAGTCTAAAAATCGAAAACAAAATTTAAAAAATCTAAAAATAAAATATGGAAAAATTGAAAAGTCGGAAAACTGAACAATCAAAACACTGAAAAATCGAGAAATTGAAAAATTCCAAAGCTAAAACGGCAAAAAATTAGGAAATCGGAAAATTGAAGAATGGAAACATCGTAGTCGGAAAATCGATAAATTTAAAAAAATTTAAAAACTGAGAAATAAAATAGCAAAATGAAAGCCAAAATTGACAAATCGAAAAGTCAAACAGTGACAAACCCAAAAATTGAAATTGAAATCCGAAAAGTCGAAGAATCAAAATATTGAAGAATTAAAAAAAATGAAAAATCAAAAATAGAAAAATTCGAAAAATGTAGAACTGAAATATTGAAAAATAGAAGAATCGAAAAATCTAAAATTTGAGAAAGCGAAAAATCCCAAAGCTGAAATGGCAAAAAAATAGGAAACATCGAAAAGCCTTAAAAAGTGAAAAATCTAAAATTTGAGAAATTGAAAAATCGAAAAATTCAGATATCGAAACATCAAAAAATCGAAAAAGTGACAAGTCAAATTTCAAAAGTTTAAAAAATCGAAAAATTGAAAAATCGAGAGAGAAAAACTGAAATTTCCAAAAATTTAAAAACCGAAAAGTTGAAAAATCAAGTCAAAAATTTTAAATATCGAAGAAATTAAAAACTGAGAAATTGAAAAATCGATGAACTGGGGAATCTAAAATTTTAAAAACTGAAAAAATTAAACATTGAGATATCGAAACACTAAAAAATCGAAAACTCCAGTAATTTAAAATTGACGAAAAATTGGGAAAAAGAAAAATCAAAAAGCCGAAACATCGAAAAATTCCAAAAACTGAAATAATGAAACATCAAAAGGTCGAGAAATCGAAAAATCGAAAAATGAGAAACTGAAAAATCGAAAAATGGAACAAAAATTAAACAATCTAAAACCGAGAAGTCGAAAAATCGAAAGATCGAGAAATCGAAACATCAAAATACTAATAAATTGAAAATTCAAAAATTTTTTGAAAAATTGATACATGTATATCGAAAAATTGAAAAATCCAGAAATGGAAACATCAAAGAATAAAAATTGAAAAAGCCCAAAACTGAAAAATGGAACAAAAACTGAACAATCGAAAAATTGAAAAATCTGAAAACTGAAACTTGGATATCGGGAAATTCAAAAGTCGAGAAATCAAACAGTCGAAACATTGGAATCCTGAAAAATTGAAAAACTGAAAAATCGATATAATATTCCGAAGTCGGAATTGAAACATGGGAACATCAAAAATCAGTTAATCAAAATCTAAAAACCGAAAATTTCGAAAAAAAAAAAAAAAATTGAAAACCATCGGAAAATTAAAAATTCGAGAAATCGAAAATTTAAAGAATAGAGAAATTGAAGAATCGGGAAATTAAAAAATTCCAATAATGAAATAGCGACAAACTGAGTAAACGAAAAATTGAAAATCGAGAAATTGAAAATTTTTTAAATCTGCATTTTTGACTTTGTTTTCAAAAATCTCGATGTCTATGATAAACATTCCGCACGGATTCATAAATACAAGGTTACGACCAAGTTTCTTCTTAACATTTAAGTGACATTTATTCGACAAAACTAAAATAACATCATCAATTCCTAGGTCGGCATGAACGGATAAATTTTGAATAACGATTCGATTTTGCAATTTCAGAGTTTGATTTTTTTTGCCAAAAATCTGGATGCCTAGGTAAACACGGATTCATAAACCACAAATGGAGGAGAACGTTATTTTAGCAGACAAAGTTTGATTAACGTTTTTACTAATTTCATAACCTGACATTTAATTTATAACAATGACTAATTCAAAAGTCTGAGAACTGACATATCTGGAATACTATCCAACTGAGCTATTACGTCGTCATTAAAAGACAATTTTACTGACGTTATTTAAGTACTTAGTCCATAGTACATCGTACGACACGCAGCTTAAATACCACAATGAAATCCAACCACGTGCCGTGTTCTAAACCGCACACCGTGGAATTTCAACTTTAATTAAAATTGAACATATTGAAAATAAAACTGAAAAATCAATTTAAATATATTAACTATCCAAGACAAAAATCCATTTGTATCGCTATCCGTTTCACGACCACCTACTGTCAAAATTGATTTGTTTATTCAGCGGAAATTTCTTAATACAAACTGTTTTTCGCTTCTTTAGTCACAAAAAAGGAGGTTAGCAACGACCCAATAATTTATATAATGACACGCGACGTGTGGTCTGAAACAAGTCGAGTTATAATATTTATAATTATACACAATCAAATCGTTTTACAAGTGCGTTTTAAAATAATATCGGAATGTTTTTTACTTTTTCCGTGAAGCAAATTTTCTGCAATTAGCGCGTATTTCTGGGAAATAGATTCACTGTATAATTATTATTAATATTTTTTCTATGATTTTCGAAAATGCGGCAAACGCATTTTATTCCACCTTAATTACAATCTAACAAAATTCGTTTGCTAATTTAATGATCTGCGAAAAATTCATTACACAATGAAGCTAGTAATATGGGGATATTACATACCGAGTATGCAAGATTTGCATTTTGTCACCTCACGCAATAAGATGTATTATGCAAAATGCCCCTGTTCTAATTTATAAATTGTAATGTTTATAGTTCGTGTCACAAGACATGCAATTTGTGGATTACGATTACGACTCCACTTTTTAAGTGATAAAACGAACGCTCATTTTTTTTTTATTATATTACAGGTCTCATTCAAGACCGCAAAAACTTTCCAGTACCTGCGTCAAACAAATCCCCTGCGCTTGTCACAATCAACAGCCCATTAACACCCAAGCCCGCAAAAAACTACCCATCAAAAAAGCAACCCCTCGCGACTCTAATAACGTGATGGATGAAAATGGAGGGTGCGTTTCCACTCGTACATGACTATCCCGGTATTAGTGCGACCATTCAGGCAACATATTAGCAATCATCGCTACCGACTACAACCCTCCACCACTACATCGCCGCCGCCAACTTACATGGACGGCGGCGATCGTCTTTTCAATGGGTACCTGCGGCGAGCAACGGACCGAGACGTCTCCAGTCGGCGGGGCTGATGGGTTGTGGTGGTGCTGAACCACCCCCGTACTCACCCATGGAACCCGCAGTTTTACTATCCAACTGGTAGGGGGGGATTCCCATGTGCGCCGGCGGCGGCTGCGACAGGGGGTCTCCGTTGTGGCAGAAGAAGGGCAAGGCGGCGCCCGGGTGCCCCGTTGGCGCCAGTCCCATCTTACTGGCCTGAAACAAAAAAATTCAATTATTATTAGTATTATTATCATTACTAGACTTTTCTTTATACTTCAATATTTCGACTTTATCAATTTTTGTTTTTTAAATTATTTCAGTTTTTCGTTTCAATCTTCTTCAATTTTTCATTTCTAAAAATATTGGTTTGCAATTTTTCGTTTTCATGTTCTAAATATTAAGTAAAAATTAATAATGCAATGGTCAAAAAAGCGATAAAAAGGATCAGAACAAAAACCACAAAAGACAACAATGAGACAAAAAGAAAAAACGTCAAAAATAAGAAATACAAAATTTGGCAAAAACAAATCGTCAAAAAATACTATGTCAAAGAAACATAACAAAAAAGGGCAACAAAGATGGTGTAAAAAGAGGATAAAATGGGGACAAAAAGCCGAAAAAATGCAATGGAAAAAAAAGTGTCACTAAAATCGCCAAAAAAATACCGGAAAAAGCGACAAAAAAAACAAAAAGCCCGCAAAAAAAGGGCGACAATATAAGAGGGATAAAATAAATTACTCAAAAACCACAAAAAAAAACACTTCAAACAAGCTGCAAAATAGTAACAAGAATTTACCAAAAAAGGACGGCAAAAAAAAGGGGTGAAAAATGTAAAAAAAGGGACAAAAACCTAAAAAAAAAATCAAAGACACCAAAAACGACGGAAAACATCAGCAAAAAACGGTGAAAAGAAGGCGACAAAAAACGTGAAAAACACGGCAAAAAACCAACAAAAACAATCAATATAAAAAGTGGCAAAACAAGAAGTCAAAAACGCAAAAAGGTTCAAACAAAAATTCTTATTTTGTTAATAATTTAGCTTCTCTAAAAGGACATTTGTTCCGATTCTTAATTTCTGTTTCATTAAAATTGCATTTATTATAACGAAAAGAAGTGACAAAAACAACAAAAAGTGAGCAAAAAAATGGATAAAGATGATCAGAACAAAAACCATAAAAAATAACGACAACAAAAAAGATGACACAAAAAGCGACAAAAAAACACGGAAAAAAGGCGACAATAAATCAAAATGAGGTGAGAAAAGGGCGACAAAATAGAGGGATAAAATAAATTAGTCAAAAACCACAAAAAAGCTTCAAAAAAGTAACAAGAAGTGACCAAAAAAGGACAGCAACAAAGAGGAATGAAAAATACAATTAAAAAAAGGGACAAAAATTGATTCAAAAAATCAAAAAGATACGAATAACGACGAAAAAATGCTGGGAAGACCACTAAAATAAGCGTCGAAAAAAAAGCGACAAAAACAACTATATAAATGACAAAAGAAGGCGACAAAAACGTCAAAAACACAGCAAAAAGAGTAACAAAAATAAGACTACAAAAAGAAGCGGAAAAAAGGTAAAAATGAGGAAAAAACAACAAAAAAACTACTATAAAAGGGACAAAAGAAGATGACAAAATCGTCAAAAAAAGGAACAAAATAATCAACAAAACAGTGGCGAAACCAATATTTCAAAAAAGCACAAAAAGGGAACAAAAAAATCAATTATTTTGTTAATAATTTAGCTTTTCTTTCTAAAAAGCAATTTTCTAGTTGTGTTCTGATTCTTTATTTCTGTTTCACTAATATTTCATTTATTATAATGGAAAGGAGTCACAAAAACGACAAAAAGTGACCAAAATTACAAAAAGCGAAAAATACACATTGAAAAAAAAGCCGAAAAGCGCCAAAAATAAATAAACACAAAAACTGGCAAAAGCAAATCGTCAAAAAATTTTATGTCAAAGAAACACGGCAAAAACGGGCAACGCTAAACAGACAATTAAAAGGGTGACACAAAAAGAATATACAAAAAGCGACAAAAAATCAAAAATGGTCGAAAAAACAGCGACAAAATAGAGAGATAAAATAAATTACCTAAAACACTCAAAAAAGCTTCAAAAAGGCACACGAAATGATCAAAAAAAGACGGCAACAAAAGGGATAAAAATCAGCAAAAAACGCTGAAAGAAGACCACCAACATAAGCAGTCAAAAAGAAAACAAAAAATGACGACGAAAACAAAAACGATTACATAAATGACAAAAGAAGGCGACAAAAACGTTAAAAACACAGCAAAAATAATCAACAAAAAAACGTGCCGAAACCAGGATTTCAAAAAGCACAAAAAAAGGAACAAAAAATTAAATTATTTTGTTCATATTTTAGATTCTCTTGTTAAAAGGGAATTTTCTAGTTTTGCGTTTTGAATCTTTAATTTTGTTTCACTAATATTTCATTTATTATAATGAAAAGGAGTCACAAAACGACAAAAAGTGACCAGAAAAAAATGCATAAAAAAGACCAGAACAAAAACCACAAAAAATAACGACAAAAACCCAGAAAATTTTTAAAAAGAGAAAAAAACCGCCAAAAATAAGCAACACAAAAATTGGCACACAAAATCGTCAAAAAATACGATGTCAAAAAAACACGGCAAAAAAGAGCGAAGAAAATCCATAAAAAGCGACAAAAATACCGAAAAAACGACGACAAAAAATCAAAAAGGGTGACAAAATAGACCAAAAAATGACGGCAACAAAAAGGGATGAAAAATGCTATAAAAAAAGGCAAAAAGCGGAGAAAAAACTACTAAAATAAACGGCAAAAAAAACCTACATAAATGACTAAAGAAGGCACCAGAAACGTCAAAACACGTAAAAAGAGCAACAAAAAAGTGGCAAAACCAAGATCTCAAAAAGGTACAAAAAAGGAAAAAAAAAACTCATTATTTTGTTAATAATTTAGCTTCTCTTTCTAAAAAGGAATTTTCTAGTTGTGTTCTGATTCTTTCTTTCTGTTTTAGTACATATTTTATTTATTATAACGAAAAACACAAAAACGGCAAAAAGTGACCAAAAAACCGATAAAAAGATCCGAATAAAAACCACAAAAAACAACAAGAAAAAAAAAACGTTAAAATAAGACAAAAAAATGAAAAAGTGACAAAAGACGAAGACAAAACTTCAAAAACACAACAATAAAGCGGCAAAAATAAGCAACACAAAAATCGACAAAAACAAATCTTCAAAAAATACTATGTCAAAGAAACACGGCAAAAAAGGGGAACAAAGATGGTTTAAAAAAGAAGACAACATGGGAACAAAAAGGCAAAAAAAAAAGCTATGAAAACCAGACAAAAAAATACACAAAAAGCGACAAAAACACCGAAAAATGGCATCAAGAAATCGAAAAGGGCCGCAAAAACAGGTGACAAATTAGAGAGAAAAAAAAATTTCAAAAAGGGAACAAGAAAGGGAAATTAAAAAACAAAAAAAGATGAAAAAAAGACTATTAAAATAAGCGACGAAAAAAACAAAAAAAGGTGACAAAAAAGACGGTAAAAATAGCTACAAAAGTAATCAACAAAAAAGTGTCAAAACCAAGATGTCAAAAAAGCACCAAAAAAGGAACAAAAAAGTCATTACTTTGTTCATAATTTAGCTTCTCTTTCTAAAAGGGAATTTTTTAGTTGTGTTTTGATTCTTTATTTTTGTTTCATTATATATTTTCCTTATTACGACGAAAAGACGCCACAAAAACGGCAAAAGGTGACCAAAAATCCGAATAAAAGATCAGAACAAACACCCCTAAAAATAATACAAAAAAAAAAAAAAAAAAAATATGACCAAAAAAAATAAGAAATAATGAAAAAAATGACAAAAGACGGAGTCAAAAACGTCTAAAACACGACAAAAAATGGCAAAGATGAGACACAAAAATCGGCAAAAACAAAACATCAAAAAAAAGACTCAAAAAACGACGCGACAAAAAAGGCAACAAATAAAAGTGATTGAAAAAAAAGGGTAAAATGGCGACAAAAAAGGGACAACAAAAAAATACACAAAGTGACAAAAAAAAAGAAAAACCAGCGAAAAAAGGCTACAGAAAAATTCAAAAACGGCCACAAAAAAGAACAAAAATAGGCAACCAAAAAAAGCCACAAAATACATAGAGGGATAAAATAAATGACACAAAAAACAACAAAAATACTTAAAATAAGTTCAAAAAAGTAACAAGAAGTGGGCAAAAAAGAAAGGTTACAAAAAAGAAGGATTAAAAATACAATAAAAATAGGACAAAAAGGATACAAAAATCAAAAAAGCTAAAACGAGGAAAAATTTCTACCAAAATAAGTGAAAGAGACTACAAAAACAAGCGGGAAACAATATACAAAAATGAGTCAAAAACAACAAAAAACTACTACAAAAGTGACAAAAGAAGGCGACAAAAACGTCAAAAAGAACAAAAATAATCAGCAAAAAAAAGGAAAAAACAAGATGCCAAAAAAAGGGAACAAAAAAAATAATTGTTTTGTTAATAACTCCTGGACATGCTCGCTGCGCTCGCCCTGTAACCGTTGTTTTTGTGCAGTTTAGTTCCATAGAAGTGATTACAAAAGAATCGCAGCGATTGTTCCTAGGTTTTGTTGTAACAGATAATAAATTTCTACGTGTATTATTATTTAAAAAAATCATATTTTTAGAATACGAGCGCAGCGAGCACGTTCAGATTGCTGGGGCCTTTACGATTTAGTATTCACAAACATTTTCAAAATTATTTTTAATAGTTTAGCTTCCCAAGGAGACTAGTGAACGATTTTTTTAAATTACACCTGGACGTGCTCGCTGCGCTCCCATTTCCAGTTTTACTCTCATGGATGTGTGCAACAAAGAGTCTCAGCGAAGTTTCTTGGATTCGGTTGCACGGATAAATCTCTAGACTGGAGACACTCTTATACTAAGCTCACTTGACATACACATTGTAAAACTTATGACTTAAGTACCCTTATAAGTCAAACTGACTAGTGTATAACAACTACACAACAGAATTTGGAAAATATTTTTGAATTTTAGTGTACATATTTGACTTCCTTGAGTCTGAATTGATTGCTGGAACCAAATTTCGCCTAGTTAATTTTCTCAATTTTTTCCAGATTTTGCGTTGTGGATTTGTCGTGCCCCTCATTGGAATAATGTTAAATTCATGTACC